CTTAAGACCGGTCTTAAGACCAAGACCAACTTCGAGTACCACAACACTGGCCAGTGGTAAGCACTCTTTCTCAGAACACTTCCTGCTAAATGCTAATAGCATCACTAATTGCTGCTTAGCCCCTTTGCTATCCCTGAGTTGGTCTTTCCAGATAATTTCTGAACTACTAATTTACTGGGCAGAATTTGTGGGAACACTTCCAGTAATTCGCCAACAGAGAAGTTAACTTTTACCTGAACGCCTAACCACTTTTGCTAACTTTGAAAATGTTTAGCATAGCTTAGTGATTGAGTGATTTGACATGAGAAGTAGGCAGTCGACGGGCTTGTCTGAGTATGTGGGAGCAGTTTCATGAGTTTTCAGGTTGAGAGCTTTGGCTTACAGCTCCAGCCTCACATCCGCTGGGTGACATGTTAGACTCCCACAGGGAGGAAGAGGAGGAGGAGGAGGGACGCAGGCCTCCTCTCCAGAGGTCATCCATCTCTGTGGACGTATGGTATCGACGGCGGTGTTTCATTACATGATGGAGGTTACACCCTGAGCTGCTTCTCTCTCGTCGCCGTCCAGCTGCTGCGCCTGATGCTGTGCTTCCTCCTGCAGGTGATCCAGGCCGTATTCTTCGGGCTGTGCGTCCTGATCGACGTGTCCAGTCTGCTGACCAAAGGAGCCGACAGCAGGGAGCAGGAGCGCCAGCTGAAGAAGCTGATCGGCCTGAGGGACTGGATGATGGCGGTGCTGGCGTTCCCCGTTGGAGCGGTGAGGACGCCACACAGACGCCATGTTGGCCAGTTTCTTCCATTTATTTGGAAATTTCAGGCAGTTTTCCATAAATCATCCAGTCATTTGTTGGAAATGACCCTTTTTAACCTTTTATCCATCATGTTGGGTCATTAATCAGGTTGTACTGTAAAATATTTGATTGGTACTTAAATGTGTACACAAATCAGTGTCATATCTGTCAGCAAATGAAGCAGGAGGAAAATTAGCAAAAGGGAAAAAGTCTTCATTTCAGACAACATAAACTATCCATCCTGGATGAGCTTAAAAAGAGACTCTTGGTTTCCAAAAGTTAAAAATTAACTGTAGTAACTAATAATGAAGCACAAATGATCTTTGTATGAGGAGCTTTAGTTTTATTGACTTTTCTTACCTAAACATGGTAAAAGCAGCTCCAGATCAAGGAAGCTAGCGCTAATGCTAACGAGATGCTAATAACTTCCTTTGAAATACAAGAAACGCTCTAGACCAGAAAACTGACCAACCAAAGGAAGTTTTTTTGAGAAAAATAATCTTAGAATGATGTTAAATCTAATTAAAATATTGAAAATAATCAGAATTAGGAGTTAAAGGACCCAAACAGTTGAGAAAACGTTTAAAGTGGAAGCGGCGTGTTGGGCCTCCTGCTGAGAGCAGAGGAGGAGCCGATCAGGCTTTGGGTTCACACAGGTAACTCCATCCCCGCTGCAGAACATGTCCTGGCCTCCGTCCAACCGCAGAGGAACCGGTTGATGGTGCCTTCAGGGGCGTGGGACAAAAGGCTGCTGTGAACATGGATGAGGTTCCCGTTATCCAACTCGCCTCATCAGTGAGGTGAAAACCTTTTGGTAAAACATCGTAGCTAACTGACAGGATCAGCTGACATGGCCCAGTTCTTCTGCTGCTGGAAAATTGGTTTCCGTCTTTTAAAGACACAGTACGTCATTCCTTCTTAATCAGCTGATTGTTTCTACACGAGTTAATAAACATGAAGCCTAATTATTAACAGGAGCTGCAGCCAGACAGTAAGAACGACTTTACTGAATGTGGTGGAATGAAGAGGGTTCAATTCCCAGAAGGTCTTTCTGCATAAAGACTGCTTCATCCAACCAGCCATCCAACTGTCCATCCAACCAACCAACCAACCATCCAATTATCCAACCAACCAGCCATCCAATTATCCAACCAACCAACCAACCATCCAATTATCCAACCAACCAGCCATCCAATTATCCAACCAACCAAC